TACATATCCCCTCAATAAGGCACGATCTCAGTCCTGTACCCACAATGACCCTGGTCTCATCTCTCTGAAGTCACTTGCTTCTTTAACATACCCTGTCTTTCTGTAGCATAGCTATGCTCCAAGTTTTTTTTGAGCTTGCAAAACAAGTGAAATATTCCAGTGGTGTTGACGCTGCCTGTAATGGCACAGCTCAACTGTGAGAATATGCTTTACAGATATGTAATGAAATTAATTTTAAAAAGGAATAGTTTAACAGCTTTGCATTCTAGGCATAATAACTAGCTTTTTATATTCATTTTAATTACAAAGCCTAAAAATGTAGAAAATCCTTAATGAAGTTATTTAAATGGAAATGCATGTTGTTGTAATTGTTTCCACTGAACCAGAGTTGAAGATAATAAAAATAATAATCCTGGACAACACAGGAAGGGGAAATAGAACTCTCATATGTAGTGAAATATCAAACTGAACAAAAATTCTCTAAAAACCATTTTGTCTTTGAGTTAGTGAGAAAAATCCCCACCACTAGTATGTAATTATTCCTTTAGAGTGGAAAAAAGGAATGGCTAGGTGTAATTGCCTGGGGAACAGACATCTAGTGCCACTTAAGTTGCTGTAGGGTATCTAGGCTGATGTCTCAGTGCTGCTTCAGAAAGACGTGGTTCTCCTGCATTGACTGTGTCACCTCTGCTGTCTGCATAGTTATGTGTCAGGGACATCTCCAATATAACTAGACTTCCGTGTTTTGCTGCTGAATTGAGCTTACAATGTCTTTACTGTCTGTTTTTAGCAGCTCTGACAATTGCTAGCATATCAAAACAGTATCATTCATCTGGAAGAGCAAAAATATTTACTAATACATACAACTTCCATTTAACTAATACTCCTTTACATTGGAATAAATGAGAATTGGGGATGATAAAGTGCATTACCAGTCACTGCAGGCAAAATGGTTGAAAGTTCTCCCAGAAAAGTTGTGGAAAGGGATTGCTTGTTCAGCCAGGGTTAAAATTTCAATGGATTTTAATAGTGTCTAAGACAATCCAGTGAAGGTACACCCAAGTATCTTGTTTGTGTTTCCAAGTGATGGACAGGGGCTCATGCTGTGCAGTAGACCAGCATCTGTAAGCAAAAGGTCCAGCTTACATCTGCAAATAACTTTTCTGAAACATTGGCATTCTCTTGGGAATCTCTGGCTGTGTCTGTAGCATTTGGTTTAATTTTAAGATTTTTATGCTCAGTCTTTTAATATGCCTTTAGTGAATTTGAATCTCCCAAACCCAAGTCTTGTTACCTATTGTTAGTTATATTGTCAGATCGTGACACTGCTCTTTTTATTCATAACTGGTTTCTTGCTCTGCATGGCATAGTGTTCTCTTTGAATAAACACTGCTGTGTACATTAGCCTACTTGACAGGCAGTAAGTCACAGGCATTGCTTAGGGTCTGCTGTGACTGAGTACTTCGTGTTGTTTGAACGCTACATCTTCTGGCTGTTCTGAGTCAGCTGTCCTGGGACAGAGAGGTAACGGTATTTATTATAAAGAACAGTTTTATGTTAGTGATAAGTATTGAAGATTGGAATATGGAAGAGAAGGGAGACATATTGGTTTTTAGTCTCTCGGTTATTGCTAGTTTGGAGAAAGCTGGAATGAGATCCCAGCATTAATTTCTCACTGAACAAACTTTTGTAGAACCTCAGCTGTGTGCTGTTTCTAAGGGGTACTGTATTGTCTTCTGGCCTTAAAGGAAACTCTTGCATTAACCCATCTTCATGGACTTTCCTTGGTGGGGCCTTAAGAGGGGGTAGGAGGAGTGGTAAAATAAAGAACTAGAGTTCTTCTATATTGTCTGTAGAGAAGAAAAGATGGGATATAAATAGTTTGCTTAAATTACACCATAATTTCATGAATGTAAAAATGATTTAAATGCAAAACTGCCATCAGTAATTCTGCCTCTCAGAATGAGACTTTGGTTCACTCTTTGCGTTTTTTCTGATGCTACCTCTTAAAAGAATTATCCAGTCTGTAAAAACAACCAGGGTTTCTATTCTCATGTCTTCAGGCACCGAGAACTTGCTAATATTCATTCCTTAGATTGTTATTATGGAAAGAAATGTTGCTAGCTCTCATATAGCAGGAAACTGTTCCTTTTCTGAGAATGTGCACTGAATATTGAGAATCTGTGGAGTTGTGAATTGTATGTAACTTCTTTAGTCAGTTGCCTGGTTTGCTATTTAGGGAATCAGGAAAATAAGTGTTTACCCTGATCAGTATGTGATTGAGGAAAAAGAGTTCACAAAAGAATTCAGTAGTGCATCAGTAGTGTATCTATGTTCAGTAGTGCTTCAGTAGTGTATCTACAGGTAGATACATAGGAAACCTTCTCCTCATCATGGGTCTGGGACAACTAGCACTACTAATCTGGTGTGAAGGACAGGCATATCTGCAGAGGTGGTGTGCACAGATGTGTAAAATAAGCTTTTAATTCCCTGTGTCGTAAAGAACGGATACTCTAACTGGCATTTTCTGATCAGACCTCCAACAAGGATTACAACTCATCTACTGCCCAGTTGACCTAGAAATGGAGAAAGTATTTACAAGTACATAATGCAGGCACAGTGGTTTTTGAACACAGATTTGTTAAGCCACTAAAAATCCTACAGCCACCTCAGACTGAAGATGCTTTTAACTATTTTGCAGAAAAGTTTTATCTTTGCATAATCAACAGTTTTGCTGACTTTTTTTTCAGTGTCTTTGACGTAATGCTGTATAACATGTTGGTACATTTAAGTAATGTCATTGCTATTTAATGTATTTATATTTACATTTTATTCTACTAGACAGAGAAAAAAGTATTTTGTATTTTCTCTTGAATTTTTCAATTTTTGCTTCCTTGGTCTGTGCCTGTGTCTTGTTTTTTGTCTTCCCCCCCCCTTTTTTTTTTTTCATTTTCCTCCAGAACTACTATGGAGCTGCCAAAGTGATTCTTTCTGATAATCCACTTGGCCTGACATGCGGAATGGTGTGTCCAACATCAGATCTCTGCGTTGGTGGCTGCAATCTATATGCCACTGAGGAGGGACCAATTAATATTGGTGGATTGCAGCAGTTTGCTACTGAGGTAGGTAGGACTTGCAAATGTCTTAAATTCTTTGTATTGCCATTGTTAATGATTTGTTTAAAAAAAATGGTACTAATACAATAAAGCTGTAGGAAGTTAGAATAATTATCCCTTTTCTTACAGCACATTCAGAAGCTTAGAAATGCTTTCATAATGCAATACTTTTTAGGAATAGAAGGAACCTTATTTGTGAACAAGATGACTCTTTTGAAACACTAGTAGTTGAGACAATCTGTTTTATAATGAAAGATTTATCTAAGCCAGGTGAAATTGTGGATATTACTGAAGTAGGATGCATAGGGAAAAAGATCAAGTGTGCCTGCATCTGTAACTGCATGTTAAGGAGATTTAGGACTATTCTGGGCAGAGGGTAGATCCTGTAATTGGGTTAGTGTGCATTTGTACTGGCTTTGTGGCAAAGGAAAAGTTTCAGAACATTTACACTTTTTACTGTGTTGTTCTGCCCAAACAAAGTAACTAAGTAGTTTCAGGTCGACCTGAAATATATGGAATCATAGAATCAGAATGTTAGCGGTTGGAAGGGACCTCTGTGGGTCATCTAGTCCAACCCCCCTACCGAAGCAGGGTCACCTACAGCAGGCTGCACAGGACCCTTGTCCAGGCGGGTCTTGAATATCTCCAGACAAGGAGACTCCACAGCCTCCCTGGGCAACCTGTTCCAGTGCTCCGTCACCCTCAGAGGGAAGAAGTTCTTCCTCATGTTCAGACGGAACTTCCTATGCTTCCGTTTGTGCCCATTGCCCCTTGTCCTGTCGCTGGGCACCACTGAAAACACTTTGGCCCCATCCTCCTGATACCCAAACCTTAACGTATTTATAGGCATTTACAAGGTCCCCTTTCAGCCTTCTCTTCTTCAGGCTGAACAAGCCCAGCTCCCTTCACCTTTCCTCATAGGAGAGATGCTCCAGTCCCCTAATGATCTTTGTAGTCCTCTGCTGGACTCTCACCAGTAGCTCCTCATCTTTCTTGAAGTGGGGAGCCCAGAACTGGACACAGTACTCCAGATGAGGCCTCACTAGGGCTGAGTAGAGGGGGAAGAGAACCTCCCTCGAACTACTGGCCGCACTCCTCTTAATGCACCCCAGGATCCCATTGGCCTTCTTGGCAACCATGGCACACTGCTGGCTCATGGTCAACCTGTCATCCACCAGCACTCCCAGGTCCCTCTCCGCAGAGCTGCTCTCCAGCAGGTTGATGAGGGTACACTCTGTCCCTTCATCCAGGTCATTGATGAAGAAGTTAAACAAGACTGGGCCCAGTACTGACCCCTGGGGGACGCCACTAGTTACAAGCCTCCAACAAGACTCGGTGCTACTGATGACAACCCTCTGAGTTCTGCCATTCAACCAGTTCTCTATGCACTTCACCAACCACTCATCCAGCCCACACTTCCTGAGCTTCCCTAGGAGGATGTTATGGGAGACAGTGTCGAAAGCCTTGCTGAAGTCGAGGTAGACAACATCCACTGCTCTCCCCTCATCTGCCCAGCTGGTCATGCCATCGTAGAACGCTATCAGATTGGTCAAGCATGATTTCCCCTTGGTGAATTCATGTTGACTACTCCTGATAACCTTCTTTTCCTCCACTTGCTTAATGATGACCTCTAGAATGAGCTGCTCCATCATCTTTCCTGGGATGGAGGTGAGGCTGACCGGCCTGTAGTTCCCTGGGTCCTCCTTCTTGCCCTTTTTGAAGATTGGAGTGACACTGGCTTTTCTCCAGTCCTCGAGCACCTCTCCTGTCCTCCAGGACCTTTCAAAGATGATGGAGAGTGGCTCAGCAATGACGTCCGCCAGCTCCCTCAGCACTCGTGGGTGCATTCCATCGGGGCCCATGGATTTGTGGGTGTCCAGATTGCTTAAGTGATCCCTCACGCAGTCCTTTTTGAACAAGGGAAAGTCATCCTCTCTGTAGGCTTCCTCTCTAGCTTCCAGGGCCTGGGATTCCTGAGGGCCTGCCTTGGGGCTGAAAACTGAATCAAAAAACGGTATGAAAGGGTAGAAATGTGTGTGTGTGCATCTAGATAGATATAGATGCACACACGTGTGTATGTGTAAATTTATTAGTTCATGCAGGCATGTGTATATTTTGGCTACTGAAGCAAAGGTTTTTGCTTCGTGCTTGATGTTAGGAAGTCTTCTCAAGGGTTTCTGTTGAGGTGCATGTGCCTTGTTTGTGACTGTATAGTTTCAGTGCTCCAATTTCTATTTGAAGAAAGATCGAGGCTACTGCTGATTTGTTAACTTCCTTTGAGGGCATGGAGTATTTGTACCAAACTCGTGGTCTCACCTGGCACCTCTTCTGATCTGGCTGAAGTATTATTGGGTGAAAATTGTAGTTTTGGTCTCTGTAACAGTGAGGAAGTTGTGGCTGTATAAAAACAGGAATATGCATGTGTTATGATTGCATATTTCTATACAGTCCTTAACTAATGAGCATGTCCCTCTTGTGTACCTTAAGCTATTTGGCAGATTGTATTTACAAACATACAATGAAATTCCAGTCACCTTTACAAAGGCTGAGAAACAAAACTTTGTAAGACAGACCAACGTAGGAATACAAATTAATCTGGAAGTAAGAGATGATATGTGTACAAGGAAAATTTTTTTCCTCTGCTGTCATTCATAGACTTCACATCCCCTTCGCAGTGGCTGTGGGTCATGATTCAATGAGCAAACATTGCTGCCTGCTGCAGTTCTCCTTTTACCTGTTTGTATCCCTCCTTTCTTCTCTCCAGGAGAAACATAAAGTTTCTGGAGCACCTGCTAAACTTTTCTGCTAGCTGTTGCTGAACCTTCTCTCCTCTCTGTCATTTAAGTAGCTATCCACTTTGATTTTCTAGAGATTTGAACATACAAGTGTAAGAATCAGTACAGTTTGGACCAAAGTTCTCATGTACAGGATGAGGTTAGAGATACTGAGCTGTATTTGTTCTACATGTATATTCAACAGTTGTTTTTTATCAGTCAAGAGGCAATTGTATGAGCTTTTCTTCTAATGGTCGTATGTATAAAGACTTATATGTAAAAACTTAGTATTTGTTGCAAAGTGGAAGGCTTATTTTTTTCTTAAAAGAAAAAACAAGCAACCCCCCCCCAAAAAAAACCCCCAAAAATAAAAAAAGAAAGAGTAAACAGTTGTCAAGTAGATGATAAATATGATGGTAAAATATTACTGTTTAGGAACCAAATGCAAGTAATATCTGTTAAAACTTGATTTGTGTCTCCTTTTAGCCCTAATGTTATGATTAATAGAGAGGAATTATAGCTGGATAGACAATGCTAAATATCTGCCATTCTTCTTCAAAAATCTTTATAAGTCTATTAAAAAAGCTCAGTGCTAGCACAATGATTGATATGAAAACTGCAGAGAGGAAGAATAGCTCAGAATGGCTTTGCTCCTAATGTTTCAGGTTTGTTTAAAGTGATATTAGTGTTGAGTTCTAACAAAATGAAATGGTTATACAGTTCTATTTAGCATTTTTAACAAAAACAAAATGTCAGTAAATTTTAATATCCTTTATATTTTTATAATATCCTAAAATGTTAAACTTAGTTGTTAATTACCTTTGGATTTACTGCTGTTTAACAAAGAATTTTTATGTATTGAAGTACTCATAATTAGTAATAATAGGCAGTCACTTTTGTAATTAATACTTTTTTTTAGCTTTCATTCAGTTATATTTTACTATGAAAGTATGTAGGGTTGAAAAAAATACAATGGTGTGAGTGCTTCCAAGTAACAATCATTATAAAAATACAGATTAAAATACTACAGAAAATCATAAGGTACTACTGCTCACACAAAATTTGGCCCAGATACTGCAAGTGAAGTGTGTTCACGGCTTTACCTATATGAGTAACTTAGCAAATAGTGTAATTTAAGTGTGCAACATATGTTACTCTTAATGAGAGCTGCATGGTAATTCTCATGCACTGTGTAACAGTTTGTCCCACAGGGGCTTATTTACTCAAAACTCCATTGTACATAAAGCCAGTTTTAAACTCTTTTTCCTTGGAATTAGTCTGAGGATCATACACTTGGTGCATTATGATAGTGAGTGATAATAAAAAGACACAACTGCTAGCTGAGATAAAAGACAAAACTGCAATAAGCAGGAACGTGGGTTTAAAATGGAAAATATACGGGTATGGTGTATGCCCCTTTGTGCTTCTGAACAATGACTGATCATCTGTTCATCCTGCAACTAAAACTCCCTAATTGTAAATATTTGTCTTGCATATGGTAGAACAAAAAAAACCCCAGCACCTCATGCTTCCTTGATTTTCCTTCTACCCTTCCATATAGTTTTGTAACTATGTTAGCCTCATTCTTTCAGTAAATCGTAATCGTATCTGAAAAAATGTGGAATTTTACAATTATATGTTAAAGTGGAAAAAAAGGAAATGTCCCTTTATATTTGTGATGTAGAGTGTGTATACTGGGATGCAGTTACCACGGTAACTGTCGCACCTAGAGAATAACATGGAGTAAAAGCTCAGTGTTATAAATGATGAGTGTCAAGCGCAGGTTACACCTGCTACTGCACAGGTCAAAATTTTATTAATGTCTTTATCTGTCTCCTTTGCCCAAGTACTTTAGAATCAGGAAACATCTCTGGTTTTGGAGCACAAGTTCAGTGAAAATATACTGAGCTGCAGTGACAATACATACAGGCATGAGCTATATGACTGTCATTCCCACAGAATAAACTAAAATTGTTGGTTACTCAAGTACAAGTTTGTAAGCTTGCAGTAAAAAAGAAGCATGATCTAGTACATTGTCTGTTGTAGAGTGAGTAAGAAGCCCGCAAAATCTTACAGTTCCGGATAGACATTGCTGAGTCTAAGGGTTCTTCTGTGTTTATAGTTAAGTGTTCTGAATGGAGCAGCACAAATTAAATAGAAAATGTATTATTTTAATCGCTGCATACTAGATTTAAATACTAGATAATTTAGTACAGTGACTCTTGTGCCAGC